AACAAGGAAACCTGGCATCCATCTGTCCCATTCCCCTGTCCATCCCATTCTCCAACTCCCCCCTCATCACCTACCTCAAACATACAAAGGTATTGCTTTAGTAAATTGAGTCACTGAACTCGGGGGTAATTTGTAACATAGTAATAACACATTTGGCTTACCTATATTTCTGTTATGGAATATTTGTACACTGTGTGAAGATGTAGTGCTATGACTAGTGTAATAAAAATCTGGATGACCAATAACCAGGCAGGAGCTATAGGCTGGACTTCTAGGCAGCAAGAGAGATTGAGATACTAGGAGGAAGTGTCTAGGAGCATAATTTCACCAGCGAACTTGGAGTAAGTCGGATGTGCTGTACTAAGAAGAGGTAACCGAGTCACAAGGCAGAACGTAGATTGATAAAGTAGGTTAATTTAAATTATAAGAGCTAGTCAGAAAAGCCTAGGCAAGGCCAAGCATTCATAACTAATAATAAGTCTCTGGGTCATTATTTGTGGGCTGGTGGTCCAAAGATAGTCCAAAAAGGAAGCTTGCTGCTACATATCTTTTCTTTCTTTTTCTTTTTGAGTTTTTTCAAGATAAGGTTTCTCTGTGTAACCCTGGCTGTTCTGGGAACTCCTTCTGTAGACCAGGCTGCCCTTGAATTTACAGAGATCCGCCTGCCTCTGCCCGCCAAATGCTGGATTAAAGGCGTGCAGACGCCACTGCTGGCAGCACCATCATTTTTAAAAAGGAGGTGGGGAAGTTCTGAGACGTGAGGAGCCGAGTCAGATCCCAGCACCCACATAAGAGCTGGGCACAGCAGTGTGCAGCTGCAATCCCACTGCTGAGGAGCTAAAGAAAGGAGGATCTCTGGATGAGGGCTAGTGGGAAAGCTCGGCAGGTACAAGCACTTGCCTGGCTGTTCAGTCTCTGCACCCCTCAGTGGAGGGAGAGCATCGACTTCCACAGACTGCTTCTAACTGTCACACGGGCACCATGGCACAGAAACACGCTCACACACACCATACATGAAAAGAATGATACATTTTCAAATACTTAAAATCAAAATGTGGTGGGAAACAACTGAGAAAGATTGCTGATGATCTCTGGTATCCACATGCACCCACCACACACACAAGAGTTGTCTGTTATACAAAGTGCACTAAGGGCCACAGAGATGGTTCAGTGGGGAAAGACACTTGCTGCCAAACCTAATGAACTGACTTTAATCCTTGGAACCCATAGTGGAAGGAGAGAACTAAGGGCTATACTCTAGCTCTTACACAGACAAGTAAATAAATACATTTTTAATATTTAACTATATAAAAATAAAATGTTGTTGGCCTACATGCTTGTAAGGTTCTAGGTTTAATTCCCTACACTGCTAAAAACAAATAAAATCCTAAAACATACTGAGTATAAATAAGCACTTACTAAACAAAGAAATAATACAACTTTATCAGGCACTATAGCAAGAGGCCATAAAAAGGGCTGGAGGGCCAGACACTCCTTTAATCCCAGCACCGGAGAGGCATAAACCGGGATCTCTACGAGTTTGGGACCAGCTTGGTCTTCCTAACAAATTCGGGACAGTCAGAGTTACACAGTAAGACCCTGTCTCAAATAAAACCAGGTGTGGTGGTAAAGGGAGGGACTGTAAATGGGTAAGAGGTTAAAATCGACGGCTGCACAACCATGAGGACTGGAGTTCCAAGCCCAGCACCCACTAACAAGCCAGAAGTTCCACAGGAATCTGCAACTCCAGCTCGGAGGGACCCAATGCCCTATTCTGGGCTCCATGTGCTCTCAGGCATGCATAGACATGAGAACTTGTCTTCAAAGACATGAATACAGCCGGGTGGTGGTGGCGCACGCCTTTAATCCCAGCACTCAGGAGGCAGAGGCAGGTGGATCTCTGTGAGTTCGAGACCAGCCTGGTCTACAAAAGCTAGTTCCAAGACAGGCTCCAAAACCACAGAGAAACCCTGTCTCGAAAAACCAAAAAAAAAAAAAAAGAC